TTGCAACAAAGACTCCAAAATGTGGTAGACACCAAGACCATAGATGTACTGAAAAAAAAAAATCAGGCAGAGACAGAGACAGAGACAGAGACAGAGACTACATATACTCCAAATGGAAAAACCAAAGCGATGGAGAAACTACCCAAAAGTTCACCCAAACTATAAACATGAAGCTGTCGGGTTTCATATTTGCCCTGCTGGGTTTTTACCTTACTTTGGCTCAACCTTCTCTTGCTGTCCTCCATTTGGAATGGAAATGTTTACACTCTTTGTGTCATACATATACTGGAAGCGTATATAGTTAGGAAATTGCCTTGAGTCTTAGAGGGGACTTTAGACATGGGAACGGTGCTGAAACTGTTAAGACCAGTGGAGACTTTTGAAGGCAAACTGAATGAATTTTAAATGATGGTGGGGCAGAGAAGTGAAATGTATGCAGTGCTTTGAAAGTGATGTGCTTGGGACTCAGGTTGATAAGCAGTGAACTTTCGACGGTTAATCTTCATTGTTAACTGACTGGGTTTTAGAATTACTTAAATATACCCCTGGGTACGTCTGGGGGGGGATATTTCAGAGATTTAACTGGGGACAGAGGTGAACTTGAGTGGCACCACCCCACATAGCTTGGATCCCAGAATGAATAATTTTAGAAAACGTGATAGAGTAGCATCACTCATCTCTTACACTCCTGCTGCCCGAGGCAGAGGAGCACTCAGTGCTATGCTTTCTACGTGAAATGATACAGCCATAAAGGGCTATATCGTCACACTATGAGCCGAAGTATCTCCTATCTCCCCCCCACCCCCCAGGGTCTTTTGTCAGAATTTTGTCAGAGAAATGGGAAAGTAAGCAATATACCCATCAAGAGGATTCTGAGCTAAATTCTCTGGTTAATGATGCTCACACTGGCAATCTGTGACCTGTGTGTCACTGGTGAAGATGGAGAAAGGCGGCTGTCACTAGAGTGTCAGTGAGTATGTGGTTTTCTCCACCCGGGTCGCTTGTTTGTTTGTTTGTTTGTTTGTTTGTTTGTTTGTTTGTGGTGATATCTTATGGTCTAACAAATAAAGCTTGCCTGAAGATCAGAGTGCAAAGCTAGCCACACTAGTTAGCCATAGAGAGCAGGCAGTGGTGGCACACGCCTTTAATCCCAGCACTCGGGTGACAGAGGCAGACGAGTCTCTGATAGTTCAAGGCCACATGAAATTGATCCAGTCTAAAAGAGAAACAGGGCCCACACAAAGGTGATCTCAGCACTTGGGATCCCACGCCTTTAATCCCAGCACTGGAGAGGAATATAAGGAGGAAGGAGACAGTAGCTGAGGGCAGTCTGAGGTTTGGTGGAGAGCAGTACAGTCTAAAGAGCAGTGCAGTCTGGTGGTGCAGTCTGAGGACAGGGTCGCCCATCCAGTCTGAGCACTGGAGGATGAGAACTTTCCCACCGCTCTGCTTCTCTGATCTTCAGCTTTAACCCCAAAATCTGTCTGAGTTTTTATTATTAAGAACACTTAGAAATTTGTGCTACACTTTTTTTTAGTTTTATGTGTATAAATGTTTCCCTGGATGCATTTGTGTGGGTTACGTGTGTGACTGGTGCCCTCAGAATCAGAAGGGATTGGATCCCCTGGAGCTGGAGTTATGGATGGTTGTGAGCCACCATGTAGGTGCCAGGAATTGAATCAGGGTCATCTGCAAGAATAACAAACCCTCTAAACCACTGAACCATCTCCCCAGCCTTTCAAACGAGGAAGTACCAATGATTTTTGTTTTTACACACACACATTCAGTTGCCCCAGAACCGTTTGTTACAGTGGCATCTTCTCTATGTGTCCAGAACCATTTGTTACAGTGGCATCTTTTCTATGCGTCATTGGTTTACTTTCTATCCTTATGCCAGTCCTCTGTGTGTGGCCAGAAGTTAAACCTTAGGTGCCACCATCCTGCTATTTAAGACATGGTCCCTAGTGCTCACCAATTAGGCTAGGCTGGCCACTTACCACACCTTCCCCAAGCCACCACACCAGGCTTGGTTCTCTCATGCGGGTTCTGAGGACTGGATTCAAGTCCTCATGTTTGCTTCTGAGATCGTGGACACGCTCAGGGTGGTACAGTCACAGATGAGTCCTCGTATTTGCATGGCAATTACTTTACTAATTGAACTACCTACAGGGCCTATACTTTTTAAAATTATCAGTAGTTAACAGGATAAGCCCTCCAGCTTTATCGTTCTTCTGGATCTGTGCTCTTCAACCTCCCTAACGCTGCAGCCTTTTATAACACAGTTTATGTGGTGGCCCCCCAACCATAACATTATTTTGTTGCTGCTTCGTAAATGTGATTTTGCTAGTTATGAATCATAAACACCTCTGTTCCCTGATGGTCTTAGGAGAGCCCCATGAAAGAGTTGTTCTATGCCCTCCAAAGAGGTTGTGACCCACAAGTTGAGAACCAATGTTCTAGATTGTCTTAGCTGTCCTTAACCTTTATATTTTCCCATTTAAATTTTGTAACCAGTTAGTCAGTTTATACACAGCACAAACACACAACCTGCTGGGGTTCACCGAGATGAGATGAGATCTGTAGACCCCTGTGGGGACCTGATCTTTTAGCTGGTATTTCTTTTCTCAGTAGCGTTATTGTCAGGAGTTCTTGGGTGTCTTTCACAATAAATACATCTTTCCTAGATGTTGCATCTTTCCTAGATGTAACATGGAAGTCATCCCGAAAAAAGACTGGATCCTAATCCCTCCGCCTTCTGCATGCTGCCCTATCTGAAAAGAAGGCCTCTGCCTATGTCCTTGCTCCTTCTGGAACTGCCATGCTTATCAAGTACAAGCATTCCACAAGTTAGCCAGTCCCCAACCTTTACCTTATCTCTGGTCCTTATAACTGAGAAAATGTTAAAATGGGGGGGGGGTAAATCCTGCCACAGACATGAGCATCCTCCGCCCGTCTCACGGGACATTGCTCAGCCTTAAAGCTGTCTTCTCCCCCCAGGTGCTTTCCTCCTCCTAAGCGCTTAGAAGCAGGCTGTCTCCGGGTTTTCTCCCTAGGGCTTTCTACTAAGTAGTGCCTTATTATCTGCTGAGAGACCATTTTAGGCCCATTATTATCGTCCTTCCAAGCCAGGTGAGCTTAAGGTGATTTCCCTTCTTTGAGAAGCAAAACAGGAACTGTTTTTCCTTAGACACACACACCTTCACCCCCAAGTTCCTTCCCCAAAGGCAAATGTAGTCAGTCTTTGCTCTGTCCTTCTCTATATTCCAGTACAACCTTTCCACTTCAAAGGTTTTAACTAGCCAAGATGAAACTGTCACACAAGTCCTTGAATCTTCACAGTTTTGTTTCCTATACGCAGATTTCTTTCTACGGAAAAGAGCACAGGCAGTGTTGCAGAGTTGGGGCGTTGGAAATCCTGCCTAGAGGCCTGGGGGGCTCCCCCTCCCCCAAATGAATTTCCTCTACATAGGGTCTGGCTTTTGTGTTCCAGGACCAATAGGGCTGATGTTACAAAACTGAAATGTGTCATGTTGTTCTCTAGGAGGAATATAAAAACCAAAATGTCAATGTATAATTCACAGTGAAAAAAATGCAACTGCCCAAGGCGACTGCTATTCATTGGTTCATAACATTTCTCCTTGAAGAAAATAAAAATCATGGAATTAAAATATTCCTCAGGAACCTATTTGTTTAAAAAAAAAAGATTGATTGTGATTCAAGTAAGTAACGCACACATACAAGGCTTTCAGAGAAAAATTCAACAATTTCCATTTCCAGAACCAGTTTCTGCTCCTGGACGAAATACGCCCTCCTTTAAAAAGCATGGCCTGCCCGATACTTGTATCCCAGTTTTCTTGGTTGAATCCTTCAGTAGATGTAAACATGTTATTTCTCAAGTAACGGAATCCTTAAGGGCAATTTTGACCTTCAAAACTATTTTACCGTTGCTCCCCAGTTCTGCAGGACACACACCTGCCTGTAACTCCTCCCTCTTCCTCCTGGACAGAAAGGCTAACACAAATAGCCCTCCGAGGCCAGGCAGCATGTCACAAAGCAGATATTCCTAAATCTGGTGAAGAAATGCAGTTCGGTCGAGGCTACCCAGAGAATCTTCTTCTAAGAGGATGGCAGCTGGCCTCGCCTCTCCGCGCAGCAGGACTTCACGGCCTCCAGAACTGCTCCAGGCCGCTGCACTCCAGAAGGCACGCACTGGGAGCTGGGAGCGCAGCGTTCACCACTCAGGGCATTCACTTCTTAGACGGCCAAAGCGAAAAAGCCAAGTTGGAAAGGCTCAGTCCCACTTGACCTCACTGCAGAGATAAAGAAAGCTGCCTTGCCAGGTCCTTAGGGCCGGGTCCGGGGCCACCGTGCAAGGGAGTGAATGAGGCCGCCACCAACCCGAGGCCAAGCGGGGCCGCCCGTCACCCGAGCGGCCGCCACCCCCAGGCACCCGTGCCCGGAGCACAGCGCCCGTCTGGGGCCGCGATCCCCGTCCCCGAGCAGCGCCCGTCTGGGGCCGCGATCCCCGTCCCCGAGCAGCGCCCGTCTGGGGCCGCGATCCCCGTCCCCGAGCAGCGCCCGTCTGGGGCCGCGATCCCCGTCCCCGAGCAGCGCCCGTCTGGGGCCGCGATCCCCGTCCCCGAGCAGCGCCCGTCTGGGGCCGCGATCCCCGGCCGCGCCCGCCGCCCTCCGTGCGGCCCAGCAGCGAGGCCAGAGCCCCGGGCTCGCCTGTCGGCCGGGAGCTGTGGTCGCTAGGGGACGCCGGGCGGGCGGGCCAGCGGGCGAGCGGGCGAGGGCCGGCCGAGGCCGCGCAGGATCTCGGATCTCGGGTCACCGCCCGCGGCCGAGGGCTCGGGGCGGCCCGGTGAGGAGCGCGCATCCGCGAGGGGCGCTCGGCTGGCCGGCCGGCCGGCCGGGTGGCGCGGGGCGAAGGCGGCGGCGGCACCGGCGGCGGCGGGGGAAGGGAGGGAGAGGCGGGGCCGGGGCGCGTTGTCGTGGGGCGACTGCGCTACGGCCCGACCGGGGCGGTGATGGCGGCTCCACATTAACGCCTCCTCCTCCTCCGCCTCCCCTCCGCGCTCCCGCCCGCGCCCGTCAGCCGGCTCCCCCTTCCCTGACGCCGCCTCTCCCCCTCCTCTACCATGCCCGGCATGATGGAGAAAGGGCCCGAAATACTGGGGAAGAACCGATCGGCCAACGGCGGCGCCAAGAGCCCGGCGGGCGGCGGCGGCGGCGGCTCCTCGGCCAACGGCGGGCTGCACTTCTCGGAGCCCGAGAGCGGCTGCAGCAGCGACGACGAGCACGGGGGTACCTCGCCGCGCTCCCCGCCCCGCCCGCCCGCCCGCCCGCCCGGCCCCCTCCCCGCGCCCTCCTCCCCTCGGAGCCGAGCCGCGGCCGCCGGAACTCCCGGTGCCGCCGCAGCCCGCGACCCGCGCCTCCCCGCCCCCACCCGGCCGCGGCCTCGCCCGCGCTCCCGCGGCTTGAGAGCCTCTGCCTCGCCTGTCCCCGCGCCTCTCCTTATTTATTAGCATTTTACCATATTTCTTGGCATTGCTTTGCAGATGTTGGGATGAGAGTCGGAGCTGAATACCAAGCTCGGATCCCTGAATTCGATCCAGGTAGATATATTTGCTCACAGGAAAACCCCGTCTCTCTCTCCGCTTTTTTTTTTTTTTCCGGGCTTGCTCTGGGGTGGCCGACATCGGAATGGGGGAGTTACCGATACGGGTGTGGGGAGCACCGGGAGAGGGCAGGGCCGGGCAGGGTCGGGCCGGGCAGGGCAGGGCAGGGCAGGGCAGGGCAGGGCATCTCGGGCTGGGAGGCTGAAAGGCTCGGCTGGGCAGTGGCACAGGGCGTGGGGGATAGACGCGTGTGCACGGCAAGGTGAACATGGTTCCCTCCCGCGGCACTTGCACGCTGCTGGCCTCGCACCGAGGTCGCGGGTCCACGGCCCGGGGCGCGGGGGCTGCAGAGCCGAGGGCTGCAGAAGAGGGCGAACGGGCTGCGTGTGCACGAACCTAACCCCAGGTCAGATGCCACCCCGACCCGCCCGGGGAACCCGGGGCTCGGCCGCGCCCCCGCAGGCACCATGCTCGGCAGCCCCGGGCTGCTGTCATCTGCCCCGGCCAAGGGCGACCCCCGCGACCCCCCGCGCACACCGGATCCTGGCTTTTTCTTTCCGTCGCGGCGGTGTGGACCCGGGCCGGGAAACGCCCGCGCCCGACACCGCCCCTCGTCCTCCCTCCCCCAGCGCCGACCCGGCCGGGGGAAGCCAGACCGCAGGACAGCGGCCGCGGCTGCCAAGGAGACATTTTCTCCGGAGCAGCCAGGTTCCAGCGCCCTCCGCCAGCGCAGCTTGCGGGCTCCCTCTCTACTTTTCTCCAAACAGGCTCCCCGGCGGTCACGGGATGCGAGGCTGCTCCGGGATTGGGCGAGAGTTCCGCATATGGAGGCGCCCTTGCTGGAGCCTCTGGGCCTGGAGTGCTCGGCTGCTCTAACCCAGCCAGACTCGCTAGCTCGCTCGCTCTGTGGGCTCTGCCCTGCCTGGATCGCCCTCCCACTTTCCCTGCAGTCACTTTTTGTTCAGAGCGCATTCTAACAGCATCGCCAGGGTCAGCCGCCCGAGTCGTCCTTAGCTGTGCCCGGGGCTTACCTGTAATCTCACACGGAAAACAGTCGTGTCTATTTAGTCGTAAGGGTCTGGGGGACTTCGGTCCTTCTCCCAATCAGGACAATGTGATATTTACCAGCCTAGGTGGCAGCCCCTCTCTGCAGGGAGAAGGGTGAGGTGAGCAGGACAGTTCACTTCACTTGGTGATTGACATCGGAGTGTTCACCAGATTTGGGTCCCCTTCAGAGAGACACAGCTGTTGGAATAATTTTGTCGTGGTGGGCTTCCAATAGTACTAAATGGTGTGTGGTGTGTGTGTGTGTGTGTGTGTGTGTGTGTGTGTGTGTGTGTGTGTGTGGCATAGCTAGCTAGTAGCTGGGTTCCTTCACATTACCAAGATGCTTCAGGGCTTATTTAGGCATGGGAAAGAAGACGCCTTCGCCTAAGCATGGACGGAATTTAACTCTCAGCTCCTGCTTCTGTGCTCTGAGCAAGTCACCGGCCCTCCCCGAGCTTCCATTTTCCCAGCTGTAGAAAGCTACTGCGTGGAGTTCTTGCCAGGATTAAATGACTAGGCATATGGCAGTTACTCAGTAAAGATTAGATTTCATAATTGTGAAGAACTATTTGGAGCTTTCATTGGGACTCAGTTGCTGTTGTTGGTTTTTTTTTTAATATTGGTGAAGTCATTTCCAGATAGCACTCAGCAGCTGAGTTATGTCATAAATACACCTATCTTTCTGCCCAGTTAGGTCAATTTCGGTCAGTTTGTGTTCCCGAGGTTGTGTGCAGTGGTGAGGGCCTTGTATGTACGTCAGCACCAAAACACCTGTCATTTTAAATATAAATCGTGCAACAAATTTCAAACTGGGACGAATAGTCCATCTATTTAGGTGGACTATTCCCATCATTTGGATTTACTTGTTCTGCCGTCATAGAACATTTGTGAAAGGTGACAACCCCCCATGAAATGTTACTGTTTCTAAATTAGAATTTCCAATGTATGTACACTCACTATAACTGGTATTCTTAATACAATAAGGATACACCTCATGGTGCCTAGATTGCCTTATTCTCTGCTCAACAGTGTAGTCAAGGATACGGTTGAAAGCGTTTACTCTATATGTGACTCGTTAAGATGTTTTTCTCCAGGAAACACTGCTTCCTGTGTCTCTCATTGCTGCTCTACTCTGTGTTGTACTGTTTTACTATTTTTGCAAAGGTCTTATTTCATGTTGACTTGGTATAAGTGTTGCTGTGGAAAAGATAATAGAAGGAAAGGGGGGATTTATTAGTCGATGATAGAAACCGAGAAATAGTAAGATCTCTTTTCCTCCTTCATTACCTCCCTTCTGTGTGCTTGTTTGTTTTTCTTGTTTCAAGATAGGTTCTCTCCACATAGCCCTGGCTGTCCTGGAACTCAGGCCCTCCTGCCTCTGCCTCCCCAGTGCTTGTATTAAAGGTGTACACCCCCACTCTTCCCCCATAAACCACGATTTTTATGGAAACTATTCACCACAGCCTTAGCTGTAAGTCAATTGGAAGAAAAATTCCTTAGGTGCTGGGACTATTTGATGAGAGTGTAGAAAAGTAAGTGACCTTAGGAGATAATAACGTGATGTAGAAATGACACAATAGACTAGAGAATGAACTACCATTACAGCTCAGACACCCGGGACAAATCTCCAGCTGCTGGAATGGAAGTTAGCATTGGGTTCCTGAAACTTGACCATTAGGGAAAGTTTACCTTAAGTGGTCATGCTGATGCCCTTATGGTTTACTAACTGGATTTCTGATTGTTATCTTTCAGTTGTAAATCAGTTTTTTTGGTTGGGGGCAGGTTACCTTAAAGTGATCATGGTAATGTCTTTATGGTTTACTAACTCGATTTCTGATGGTTATCAATTCAGTTGTAAATCAATTGTTAACTAGCTCTGCTGGTTATCAGTTGTAAATCAGTTGTTTTACTAGTTCTTGGCTTTGCTGCCTAACTGTGCTGTGCCTTCAAGACTCTGAGGTACCAGGAATGAACTGCCTGACTTCTTGAGGCTTGTTTTCTTGTTCAGAAAAGGGAGACTGTTAAGTACATCACAAGATTAAGTGAAAATACATATGAATGTAGACCCATAAAACAAGTTTAAAGAGACTAAGACTCCCATATTTTAAAGTTGACATCTCTTAATTGTTGCTGAATTAAATAACTGATGAAGAATGTAATCTTTGGTATATTAAAATATTAATAATTTGAAATAAAATATTCTTTATTTTTAAATTGATCTATTTATATATAAACAATGTGATAGTATCCATTTTATAAAATACATGGATTTTTTTTGTCTTTAAAGTAATTTTGTGCATATTCCCCACAGAATCTCCCATAATATATTTGCATACTTAAAAGTGCTTTATTGGGGACTGGGGAGATAGCTCTGTTGGAAAAAAAAACTTGCTATGCTGGCAAGAGGACTTGAGTCTGAATCACCCACATCTACACAAAAGCCAGAACTGGCTGCACATGCCCGTAACCCAGCCCTGGGAGCTGGAGGCAGGCAGATCCAGGAGCTCCCTGGCCAGCCAGTCATGCCGTATGGCGAGCTTGGAGTTCAGTGAGACACTGTCTCACGGCAAAGAGGCAGAAAGTGATAGGGAAGGCATGGATTTCCTGTTGCTGGCCTCCTCTGGCCTCCACAGGGGCTCATGAACACTGAGGCAGACCACACAAAGTGCTTTATCGATGGCCTGTCCAGCTTCTCTACCTTACATCCGCCCAACTTTTCTTAAGGCATCCTTGTGAACATAAATTTCTGGGTGCTAAGTGTCTTCTGGCTTTAGTTAGTGCATAATTGGCTGGAAAAAAAAACTTGAGTAGTTGTGGTTTCCTCAGTAAAGGAGCTGTTGTCTCTGTAAGGTAAGAAACATGTTTGTTTGGCATGAGAGGTCATTTACTACTAGTGGTAACAGCTAGACTGTCCACACTGTGGTCCTTGCATACAGGGTTACAGGTCTCCTAGGCAGCACGGAGTGAAGCTGTGAAAGCTCAGGATGCTATTCAGACCGGTGTAGAGTTTAAACTTATGTGTTCTTTATTTCTGGATGTGGCCATTTAGTATCTTCCAACTACAGCAGAGCCTCAGATACTGAGGAGACTATAGTAAGCTTAGGTCTCAGGTGAGTTTTCAGGCAGATTATGTTGAGAAAGAGAACAAGAAACTTAAAAGTCTGAAGGTCGGATCCCTTAAAACTCACAGCACTGGTGAGGTAGCTCAGTAGACTAAGTGCTTACCCTGCAGAGTGTGAGGATCTCAGCTCAGATTCTTGGCACCACAGAAAAGTCAGGTATGGCAGTGCATACCAATTTCTGGGAAGGTGGAAACAAATGGCTAGTCAGCCTGACCAAAGCGGTCAGTTCTAGATTCAGTGAGAAATCCTGACCAAAAAAAAAAAAGTCTGTAATCAGGTGTGGTGGTGAATGCCTTTGATTTCAGCAGAGGTAGGTGAATTGCTTGTGAATTTGAGGCCAACCTGATCTACATAGTAACAGTGAGTTCTGGGACACCTAGGGCTGCGTAGACCCTGTCTCAGAAAAAATAAAAATACAGGAGCCTGAGAGAAGACTGTCTCTGCTGGCTTCTGACCACCACATGACTTGTGCGTACACGCACAGACACACACACATCCATGTACACACATATCATGTACCACACATAATTTATTCATGTTTTTGTCATGAAGAAAGTCTTTACACGCCTCCCATTTGAAGATGCATACCCAGAATATAATATAGAACCTAGTTTATGAACAGTTTTTAAGTGTTGAGAGCATCTTAGTCTCAGGATCCAAAATCTTAGTATATTTGTGCATTAAAATCCTTTAATCTCTCAAAGGCAGTCTTAGAAAGTGACAGATTGCTGTTTTTTGTACTTTGCCCTTGGCTGGAAATCCTCCCTTGCTACACTTTGTAGCTTAATAGTTGATCACTTTGTATCTTAGTAATTAATCACTTTGTATCTTAGTAGTTGACTTGTCCTCTGTGTGTGTGTGTGTGTGTGTGTGTGTGTGTGTGTGTGTGTGTGTGTGTAGGGCGCGGGAGTACATTATCAACTTACTGATTTTACTTTTGAGCAGCTCTGAAGTAGATACTTATATATTCCTTGTTATTATAGATGAGGGGAACTGAGGCACAAGAAGACATCTCCAAGGTGGCACTCTTGCCGTGACTAGGAGTCTGAAATCTGTAATCTGTACTCTTTCCTGTAAACATCATTATTTCTTGGGCCTAGTTGACAGGTGATGTATAATTGAAAAGGTAGGGGTCATAATTAACACTGTGAAATGCCTACTTGGGCGGTCTCCATTGTCAGGCCACTACATAAACACGTCTGTCATCCCACATTAGAAGCGCAGTCAGTGTCCTCAAGTAGGAGACACTGGTTTCATCAAATCAGACCCTTAATTCCAGTACAGAAAATTTGGGGGAGAATCATAACTGGCATTTTAAATGGAGGAAAAGATGATTGTCTAAGAAGAGCTATTTAATGAGACACATTAGACGTTGTGTGGTTTCTGATGAGGTCATGCTGGAGCGATGGCTCATGGGAAGAGGTACTTGCCACCGAGCATGGGTTCTCTCTCTGCCTGCCATACGGAGTCTGTGGCATGTGCACAGCACCACACATACTAATGTGAAAAGGAGTTTTTTAAAAATAGGGTGCAGGAAAACACATTGATTTACCACTGTAGCACGGATGATCTTATTGTCACAATCTTACACAGTTGTGTAAAACAAATCTGTTCCTTGATAAAGAACTGAAGTTAGGATATTCACTGCAAACTGGGTGGCCTTTGTTTGGTTGCCATTGAGTTTCTTGACTTTTGCCTTTATAAGCTGCGGTTGTTTTGTTTTTTAACCTGCCAGGCCCATGACTAAGAATTAAACCTCTTCATATTGAATATGTTTTGTTTTGGTCTTGTTTGGTTTTCTTTTTTAACCTCATTGTTTGGCATTTTGTTGGTTTGTTTGATTGGCTGGAAGATTTTCACTAAACAGAGAAGCCTGCTTCAAACTCCAGATCTTCCTGTCTGCTCCTGAGGGCGCCATACCACACACCCTGCTGACGCTGGGGCTTTGTTTGAGACAGGGTTTCTCTGTAACCCAGGCTGGCCTTGAACTCCCAGTCTTCCGGACTCTGCCTCCCAAACAATGGGATTATAGATATATACCAATTTTAAAAGAATATCTCAAGGTCTATTTTCATTGACTATACATTTTGATAAACTTCTGACTCGGATTTTTTGCAGATTTTAAGTTCTTTTGTCACCTTTTTCTTAAAGATACAACACAACACAAAAGTTTTGTTTCTAACTGTATCTGTGTAGTTGCGTTTTTTCTAATACTTAGATAACCTACTCACCATCCTCAATTTTTCAGATCATAAAACATAGGCTTAAAATCATATTTTATTAGTAAGATTCCTCAAACTAAAAATTCTCACCAAACATTTAGTAGTAGTATATGATGATTCTCCGAATTGAAATAAATTGTTGGCTCATAACTAATGTCTCTGTGTACAAATTGTAGCAAGGAGTGTCTCTATTCCAAATACCTTATAATGATAACAGTTTAACCTCAGACTTGTATTAATATTTCATGTGGCTGTGTGTGATAAATAACTATCTTCCTCATGAGGAGCAGTGATCTTAAAGCCTGGCAGCTAACAGTTTTGACTAACTTGTACCTAAGGACTGGGTAGAAGCCAGAGAAAGACTGCTGCTTAATCCAAAGTGTCTCTAGGCATGAAGTAGCCCTGCATTAGCTGTGCAGGCTTTCATTCATGCAGCTCTCTTCCAGCTTACATTAACGAGGCTAGATGTTTTGGACTTGGTAACATGAGACAGTGTATTTCTAGACTTAACCGGATCATGTGAAGAAGAAATTACATTAGCGTTTATGCCTTTGACTTGGAGCACTACACTTATAAATATGAAGTATAATGAGGTTAAAGTTTGGAAAGGAAGCTGGCAGGCCTGGGAATGAGATAAAATACAAGCCGTGAAAGGAGACTCTGTTATTTTTAAGTCACAGCAGTCGTGCTCCGGAGAGGCAGGGGTTCTATAGGGGAAAGGTCAGCTTTGAATGAAGAGCCATACCTGGCATACAGAAAGCCAAATGAGTTAGACACCTCTCTCCAGTGGCCGGAAGGTGTGATTGCTTGAAAGAGTCTTTAAAGTGGGAGCAGAGCATTCGACACAGTTTCCGTTATTTCCACAACCAGGTGATTTACTGTATGTCGTGTAAATCTTTTCATTCAGTTTTCTTGTGTCTTTGTCCTTCCTTGCAGGTGTTATACTGAAACAAGTAAAACATTGCTTGTGTTTACTTGGGATATAAGTAAAAAGCTGGCATATTCAAAATAATTAATTTTTCCTCAGGTGCTACCAAGTACACAGATAAAGACAATGGAGGGATGCTTGTGTGGTCGCCTTACCACAGTGTCCCAGATGCCAAATGTAAGTTTTTTTTCTGAGATTGACTGTTAAGATCCGTAGGGCATCAGCCTGTTCAAAATGTAATTTGCATTTGTCTCTTAGGTTCTGTTAAGAACTGAATTTCCTTTGTTTTCTTCTTTTGATGGAAGCCTCCATTGTAGTAGAATGTTTTTCCTTTGGAAAGACAGTGAATCTGACCATTTCAGTTTGTGTCAGGCCCATGAAGAATGCAAAACCCTAGGCTCCGATGGCTTTGCTGCTCACAGCCTCGAGCAGGGGAGGGAGTTACTATGTAGACACCCGCCCGCCCAGGCTTTTCCTCAGCCTATGGAGCAGTAAAAGAAATGCCGCGGAGCTTCAGAGAGCCCACTCTCACTGCCTTTTAAAGAGGGAAGGTGAGAGGAGGGACTGCAGCAGCCACCAGGTCATCTTGTGCTCTCCATTTCTGGACTGAGACCTTCTGGAACCCTCACCATGCACTTCTTGACTCATGACTTTAGACTTCAGTGTGATGTAGCGGACCTGAATGAACACTTGCGGCACATCAGATATAGGAAACACACAGGTAACAACACTAAGATTCCCCACCCCTCCATTCAGCTATCAAATTTATTAGATAACAACAGCAGCCACACAAAACAGCCATTCTAGCAGACATAAAAGTAGGCCTGTCTTTAAAAGCATTTCCTAGCATCGTTTGAACGTATATATGTCTTGTTGTGATTTATGTAGCCTGAAGAAAAATAGCCATGTCCTATCTATCCTGTGCATAGAATCTAATCGTGCTAATAGATTAAGATAAAAAAAACTGGAGAGTGAATGTGTCTGCATACCTAGAGATCTTCCTAACTTAAGCTTTGGAGGGTTAGGCCAGGCCTCATCCACCGTTAAGCTGGGATCCTGTGCCCCGGAGGCATTCAATAAGAAATGCACCAGGAACCTGAGAGAGGTTTGCTCATTGTTGCATACCAGGGTTCATTCATAAAACGAGCATCAGGTGTCATGGGGTTTCACTGTTTGATACGATGGTGCATTTCTAGCAGAGTAGAAAACAAAATACGGAAAGGTACCATGACCATTAGGATGGTGTCCACGGGGAGGTCCAGAGCAGCTCTGTGGCAGCAATCAGCCCTGGCTGTATTGTATGTGAGAATCTCGTAAAGGTATTGGTGTCTGACTAGCCCACATCTTCAGAGGCAAAGCCTGCACATGTTTTTAAAGCCCTATCATTGGTTCTAATGCCCAGCCAGGGCTGAGACCCCTTCTAGTCAATTGGTATTACTTAATTTGCTATTGAATGGACTGTAATATACTTTTGTTGTATTTAGTCAGCATCTATCTAGGTCTGTAGTGTGCTTAAGTGGATTCTAAGGAAAATATAATACTTGGATTTTCTGTATCAGATTATACTTGGGGAAGCATTCATTTAAAACTAGATATTGTAGCATATGTATCATAGCATATTAATATATTTATTGTAATGTTCAATAATAACAGCAGATCCTTAGAAGTACTTAGGAAATACCACGTACTACCGAGCATCTTCAATCCTCAGAGACTGCATTGTTTTATCATGAGTTTAGAGCTGGAAACCAAGGCACAGAAGTTCAAATTACCAAAGTTAGAAGTGACAGAAGTGAACAGAAAAGCAAGTCTAGGTAGACAGTGGCTATTCCAGGGTTAGAATTCCTAAGACTTCTGCTTCTTAGAAATGTTTAAAGAATTAGTTACACAAAAAAGTACATGCGCATAAAAATAACTTTAAAAGGATAGAGCAGTGACTGTGGACACCACCTAAACGTGACTCTTGAAGGTACCCGATTACCAGGCGAGGCCTTGACCTAGCTAGCACGTCCCCACTGAAACTGCGTATCTGGGTTACTCTGTTCATTGCGTGTGGCGGATAAATGAAAACTGGATACCTAAGCACTGTGAAATGAATAAAAGAGCTAAAGGCGTGTCAGGGATGCTGACACACACCGCACACCATTCAGGGATGCTGACACACACCGCACACCATTCAGGGATGCTGACACACACCGCACACCATTCAGTATAGCCTGCAGAGCTGTAGATGAGTGTGCTCATTTATAGATGTGAGAAAGGGTCTTACACAGCCAAGTATTTCAAAGGTTATTTAGGATTTTACAGTGTGATTAGGTTCCACTGTCCCCTTCCACATGGGTGACTGCCAGCATATGAAAATAATCACAGTAATGTCACTTAATTTAGTAATATAGTAATTTAGTAATTATGTCACATGTGGTGGTAGGGTTACCGGTTAAATGAAATGTTAAACCAGGTGAGGAGTCACCGCTTCTGTGTATAAGTCTCCTTTAGTAGCTTTTCATGGATGCTAACTTTGGCTATTTTTTACTAAGAATAATACATTATTTTGGCATGTTAAAAAAACTAGGAAACTGAAGGTTATGAAAGTAATGGCATGCTGTTGTTCCATTACAGTGGACGAATACATCGCCATCGCAAAAGAGAAGCATGGCTACAACCTGGAACAGGTATGTAGAGGTGTGTGTGAGTGTGTGTATGCAGGTGTGTGCACATGTGTGAGTGTGTGTATGTGTGTGTGCACGTGTGTGAGGGTGTGTGAGAGTGTGTGCGTTGTGTGTGTGCGTGCTCACGTGTGTGCTGGAGCGCATGAGCCTGTGGAGGCCAGTGTCAGGCTGTCTCCCTCCTCCCTCCTCCTCTTCCTTGGTTTCATCTCATTAAGTTACCCAAGCAGGCAATCATCCTGCCCGCCCACCCGGGCAGGGCTGTAGGTGTGTGCTACTACCTCCTGCTTTGAGTAGAGGCTCTCAGAGCCCCTTTAACTTAGAGAAAGATCAAATCTGTGTAAGTGGGTCAATGGCTGGGAGCTCACCTCACTGTGCTACACTAATCTGTGTAAGGTTTTGGAAACTGATGTGCTTATCTATAGAGATAAACATAAAGGAGCCCTTTGAGGCTTGTGGTGGCCTATGTTACATTTCTAGTTTTTGTTTGTTTGTTTGGGAAGTGATTTTAAGACAGGGTCTTAATGTATAACCTTGACTGGCCCGGAATTTGGAATTTGCAGTGATCCTCCTATCTCTGCCTCCCCATGCTGGGATTATAGCCATGCCTATGACCCATCTTGTTTGTTTGTTCATTTATTTGAGGCACCCTCTCTCTATGTATTCCTGGATGTCCTAGGGCTCAGTATATAGATCAGCCTGGCCTCAAACTCACAGAATCCTCCTGCCTCTGGCTCCCCAGTGCTGGGATTAGAGGCATTACTTCTTTGTTACTCTTTGAGAAAGTTAATCCTCCAAAATATGAGTGTGTATTGTTTCATTTTCACCTCTATGTTAAAATTCTATTATCAAAATACAGAAATTTACTTTTAAACTCACCACTAAAAATTCTCTTGTTTTAACAGAATGAAAGTTAATTCTTTAAATAATACTTAATACCTTGTAGTAAAGGTAGAATCTTGCTACTTAAAATAGAAGAATGAGTAATACGTTTCTAGAAATGAATTACCAATGAAGTCTTTGAAGTTATTTAGATGACTTCTAATAATTGTGTGTATATATAAAGGTAACAGCAAAATAAATATACAAATATTTTATTAAATATGGAACAAAATAATTAACCTGAGGCAGGTTGTAGTGAAAGCACCTTTAAATCTTAGAATTGTTTAGCATATAACAATTCCAAAAGGCTAAAGCTTGACATTTCTCTGCTAAGTCCAACTTGATATTTCTGGTTCTTGTGTTATAATTGATAATTTTATCCAGTTATTCATTGCAGTCACTTACTGGCTAGCTCTCTTTTGGACTATTTTCCCTACACACTGACAAATTGATAAAATGTTGTGAGCTTCAGAGGTAGTCACTCCAAGTTGCTCTTTCTCTTACTTCCGCAACAAATATGACATATAGAAACACTTGTTCTGAGGCTCCAATTTAAATGCTATCCTGTTAAAGGCCCCGAGCTGAGTTTACCCTGATCTGAAGTCGTAGGCTCGAAATTGTAATCTGACTTGTGTTTAGCTCCTGAGAGTGGCAGAAGCCAGTCCATTAGAGTAAAGGGGTGTTTTCCTTCCAAGGCGCTTGGCATGCTGTTCTGGCATAAGCATAACATTGAGAAGTCCCTTGCTGACCTTCCTAACTTCACTCCCTTTCCGGATGAGTGGACCGTGGAGGACAAAGTCCTGTTTGAACAAGCCTTCAGTTTTCACGGGAAGAGCTTCCACAGGATCCAGCAAATGGTATGGTGATTTCCTTCTTACTCGGATTATCATTACAACAATTGTCTTATGATACTGTTGAATACTGCCTACCTACTAAATATAAAATGTTTTCCATTTTAATATTAAAAAGTATCTGAAAGGATGCATTAGCATACAATATTTTCTGTAATCATCCACGCATAACAGGTGCATGCTTCCACATGAATGAATTGGTTTTGATCTGGTCTCAAGTGAGTGACAGTTACTAAGTGTGGTGGGTTTTTTTGTGGGAGAATAATAATTTAACTTTATTTTTGCATGTTTTGATTTTTAACTTTAGGATTTTCTTTCATCTTGTATATGAAAGTCCATTTTTGTTTTGGGTTTTTTTTTTTGGTTTTGTTTTCTTTTGTTTTTTTCAAGGGAGGGTTTCTCTGTGGCTTTTGAGGCTGTCCTGGAACTAACTCTTATAGACCAGGCTGGCCTCGAACTCACAGAGATCCGCCTGCCTCTGTCTCCCGAGTGCCGGGATTAAAGGCGTGTGCGACCACCGCCCGGCTGAAAGTCCGTATGTGTGAGCACTGTATGTACATCACCTCTCCCCTCAACTCTTCCCACATTCCCCAGCTCCCCTTTACATTCACAACCACTTTAATTATTGCTGTTACATATTTGTGTCTGTGCATGCACACTCACACACGCAGATACATACAACCTCCTGAGACCATTTGGTATTGCTCATCTGTACCATGTGTCCAAGGCTGACCACTAGGAATTGGACAGACCAATGAAAAGGCAATATTGAAGTAACACAGAAATTCAATACTGGCATAATTCCAACATGGAAGTCCATCTTAAATCTATGTGTTACGTCAGCGTTGTCTGGGAACTATTGGAGATTGTTGGTGCTGTTTTGGCTTTTGTTTTTTCAAGGAAAAAATATCTACATTGTCAGTTGCTACAGTCTATACTGCTAGCTCTAAAATGTTTAGTGTTGCATCAAAACGATGTACATCCTAGCAGCAGGCATTTTGTACACTTTACGCGGATGATGTTTCTGCATCTGCTTGACTTCCGTAGTTGAAGGGAGGCAGCAGGCATTTTGTATACTTTACGCGGATGATGTTTCTGCATCTGCTTGACTTCTGTAGTTGAAGGGAGGCAGCAGGCATTTTGTACACTTTACGCGGATGATGTTTCTGCATCTGCTTGACTTCTGTAGCTGAAGGGAGCGTTTTGGTATGTAGTTCCCATCCTACTTGCCAGTGTGACCACCAGTACATATGACCGTAGGCCACTGTAATACTCAAAGGCCATCCAGTGGTTAGGCCCGTCTGCATTGTTTACTGAGATCTAGCTTTAAAACGAAAATTATCTTAAAAGTTGACTGGGAAGTACAGAGTAGCTCTTCTTTGCTATATGAGAGAGGCCAGACTCACAGGGCCCACACTGTGTGACTCTGTGGTATGAGCCTATGTTGATGTCAGTCATTTACCAAAGGCTCTAAACTAGAGAAAAGAGAGTTGAGTGGCCCTGCGAAAGCAAATGCTGAATGCCAGCATGGCCCTGACGGGGACCTAGGGGGACACTCTCACTAAGTTAGTTTGTGACATCTTCACCACTACCCCAGGAACAGACAGTAACACTGATTCAGCAATGTCAGGACATTGGTGTGATGGAGGACTGTGACTGCTAACACTCAGTCAGTGACATTGGTATAAAGGAGGCCTGTGACTGCTAACAGTCAGTCAGTGACATTGATGTGATTGAAAACTGTGACTGTTACCAGTGCTTTTTGGTTCCTGTTATTCATGACTCTCAAGCTCATTTCTTACATCTCCCCTGCTGCTCAGAAGTTTTTCTGGGTTTTTCTGAGACAGGATTTCTGTGTGTAACAGCCCTGGCTGTCCTGGAACTCACTCTGCTTGGTAGACCAGGCTGGCCTTGAACTCACAGAGATCCATCTGCCTCTGCCTCTGCCTTCCAAGTGCTGGGATTAAAGACGTGCGCCACCACCACCCAGTTACTCAGAAGCCTATGTTCTTGTCATTCATAAAGGTATCCATGACATAGTTTCCATTTATGCCTTGATTATCAAAGAAGATGACATTGGTATTCATTTGTCAATCAGAGTTTATAAATTAAACTTTCTAATAGTAACAGGATGTTTTTTTTAAGCTTCCAGATAAGACCATTGCAAGTCTTGTAAAGTATTACTATTCTTGGAAAAAAACTCGCTCAAGGACAAGTCTGATGGATCGCCAGGCCCGTAAACTAGCCAATAGGCATAATCAGGGCGACAGGTAGGTTCAATGCTTTACCTCGATGCATTGTTGGGACTTTTCACTGGGTTGTAGTTTTTCATTAGACAAGAAGCTACCACAGCACTGTTTGTGCCACAAGGAAGATCCACGTGTTCATAAGTCTCGATTGTGAGAACATTTCTTAGAACTTTTGAAATGCAGGTTACAGCTGTTCTTCCCAATGACGATTCTTAGAATGTGCAGTGAAGTTACCAGAAGATCCACTAATCTTGTCTCTTTCAGTGACGATGATGTGGAAGAAACACACCCAATGGACGGGAACGACAGTGACTATGACCCAAAAAAAGAAGCCAAAAAAGAGGTGAGGATCCTTACAAGTCCTTGCACCTGTTAGGGTTGCCTGACCATAGAGACTGACCTAACCCTCTGTATCAATGGGGTCAAGACTGACCTAACTCTCTGCATCAATGGGGTCAAGACTGACCTAACCCTCTGTATCAATGGGGTAAACACTGACCTAACCCCCTGCATCAATGGGGTAAACACTGACCTAACCCTCTGCATCAATGGGGTCAAGACTGACCTAACCCTCTGCATCAATGGGGTAAACACTGAGCTAACCCTCGGCATCAATGGGGTCAAGACTGACCTAACCCCCTGCATCAATGGGGTAAACACTGACCTAACCCTCTGCATCAATGGGGTAAACACTGACCTAACCCCCTGCATCAATGGGGTCAAGACTGACCTAACCCCCTGCATCAATGGGGTAAACACTGACCTAACCCTCTGCATCAATGGGGTCAAGACTGACCTAACCCCCTGCATCAATGGGGTAAACACTGACCTAACCCCCTGCATCAATGGGGTAAACACTGACCTAACCCCCTGCATCAATGGGGTAAACACTGACCTAACCCTCTGCATCAATGGGGTCAAGACTGACCTAACCCCCTGCATCAATGGGGTAAACACTGACCTAACCCTCTGCATCAATGGGGTCAAGACTGACCTAACCCTCTGCATCAATGGGGTAAACACTGACCTAACCCTCTGCATCAATGGGGTAAACACTGACCTAACCCTCTGCATCAATGGGGTAAACACTGACCTAACCCTCTGCATCAATGGGGTAAACACTGAGCTAACCCTCGGCATCAATGGGGTAAACACTGACCTAACCCCCTGCATCAATGGGGTCAAGAGGCCTAGAGTCAGGTGTGGTGGCTTACACCTTTAATCCCAGCATTTGGGAGGCAGAGGCAGACGGATCTTTGCATATGGGGCCCATCTGGTCTACTTACAAAGTTCCAGACCAGCCAGGACTACACAATGAGACCCTGTTTCAAAAAGCAGGTGAAAAGGGAGAGCTGGAGAGATGATTTGGTGGTTAAGAGTGAGCATGTGCTGCCCTTTCAGAGGACGGGAGCCTGGCTCCCAGTGCTCAGGTCTGGCCTAGAACTTCCTCTAACTCCAGCTTCAGGAGATCTGACACCCCTGATCTCAGTGTGCACATACACAGACACACACACACAAACAAACACACACATACACACACAAACACACACATACACATACAAACACACACACAAACACACACAAGTACTTAAAAATGAACCTCTGGGGAAAAGAAGACTTTTTGTATGATGGTTTAGAAAGTAGATTTCACATTGGAAACTACTGTAACATTTAGGCCCTGTAGTAGGCATTACATAGTGGGGTTTGGTCGTCTTCTCCAGTCACAGATGGAACGGGCCTGTCAAAATTCTCAGTCTTTAATCCATCAGAAAAAGATCAAACTCGCCTTTACATGGTAAGATTTGTTGGGTGAAATTTTAGGTTCTGGCTTTGTTACCCGGTGTTTCTCAGAAGTGTTTTCCATGTTGTAGCCCATTAGAAAGTAGTGGCAGGCGAGTGACGTGAGCACTGACAGCGGGCTGAGAGAGGTGGGCGTCCCCGTAGGAAAGCGCTGGGCTCTCTCAGTTTGCCCGTGGGAAGGAGACTTACAGTCACTAAGAAAAGGCTAAACTGACACCGGTGCTGTTTAATCAGGTAAGGAGTTGCGCGTTTGGACAGCGTTCAAAGCGTTGGCAAGTGAGGCAGCCTCGGGGCAAGCAGGGGGTACAGCCCTGGAGTGGAGGTGGCCGCAGGCTCTGTCTGCACGTTGGTGTCCAAGTGTGTGAAGTGTGGCATTTCCCCAGCAACTGTCACAGTCAGAGAACGCTGTCCCTGTTGGTCCTTACCTTGCCTTGAAATTTCTCCATTAATGGCATTTTAAGATCCTGAGTGACCTCAACCTGACGTTCTCTTACTCTCCTGATCTTTAGGCTTGAATAATTTTCTAGTGCCAAGCTGCTTTCAGATCCCATAATTTCTTCATCGCTCCTGCCGGCTTTACATTTGCTTCCTTGAGCCATGGACAGATTTAATCACGTGTATGTGTGTGTGCTGCGTGAATGTGTGCATCATGACCTGGAGTCCCAGGCAGCTGTGAGCCACCCAGTGTGGGTTCAGATGACAGAGCTCAGGGCCTCTGCAAGAGCAGGGCCTGCTCTTGCCCAGTGAGTGTCTCTTCAGCCCACAACTTACTAAAATGATTTCTTCCTGGTTTTTTTTTTCCTGAGACATGGTTTTTCTGTAACTTTAGAGCCTATCATGGAACTTGCTTTATAGACCAGGCTGGCCTTGAACTCACAGAGATCCGCTTGCCTCTGCCTCCGGAGTGCTGGGATTAAAGGCGTGTGCCACCATCTCCCAGTCATTTCCCGGTTTTTGGTTTGTTTTTTGTTTTTTTTTAACTCCCCTTTCTTCTTACTGTATTCTTAGAACCTAAGTTTTTAAACAAATGTGTCTGTCTGTGTCTAGTGCACTCATCCATGCTTCCCGGTCTGGAAGCCACAGTTTGCATCTTCTTCCTCCCTCCCTTCCTTCCTTCTTTCCTTCCTCCCTTCCTTCCTTCCTTTCTCTTCCTCCTCCTCCTCCTTTTTGAGGCAAGGTCTCTCACAGAGCTTGCTGTTCTAACTAAACAAGGCTGGCCAGTGAGCTTCCAGTACCCCTGTCTCTCTGCACCCCAGTGCTGGGTTGCGAGCGTGTGCTGCTATGGTGTGGGGACTGGGGTTCACAACCAGGTCCTCCTGATGCACAGCAAACACTTTCCACGCCGAGCCCGATCCCCAAGCCTATTTGCCTTTTCTGGCTTCTTTCCTTTGCGGCCTACTTTAGAGATGCATATATTCCATTATTTTACCGCCTGCTACTCTGAGCTAACTATTCCTGTATTTCTATTCTTGTGTACCCAGGAGATTTTATCTTCTATATTTAAGCTAGATTCCAGCACTAGGATTCGCATTAACTTTCTGATCAGCAGACACTTTGACTCCAAACCCTACCAGTTTGTGGCTTATGTAAAAACTCACAGATTAAGTCACATCTTGCTTTGTTTTTGTCTTTTACTCATTCAAACTTAAATTTGGTGTTTTCTTTTTTGCTGTTAATGTACATATTTATTGATTATTTGGGTCACCATCCTTTCTTGCTCCAGTCCTTTCTTTGTTTTATTCCTGAGGAATATCCTTTAGAAGCTCATACACATCTAAAACCTGAGATTAGAATGTGTTCTTCCAAACAGCATCTGCATTTGTTTCTAAGTGTCTGTAGGCACTACCATCCTAAGCCTCTAAAATGTTTTATTCAGGACTTCTCATACTACAAAGATCATATAAATTTAGGGCCTGAACATGTCTGAAGCAAGACTCTGGTTGAGAGTTCTCAGGGAAGACTTCTCAAGACTCTGGTTGGGAGTTCTCAGGGAAGACTTCTCAAGGTTCCCTCTCAAGGTTCTAGCCCTCTCCTGTGGTGGAGCGAGCAGCGGGGGTATTTTCCCTACTTTACACATTGATAGGTGCACCTTGTAGGATACTGTCCTCATCGCCTGTGCCCTGCATGGCTCCCACTGAAGCCTAGAGCTTCAGGCCTCCGCCAGCTGCCTCCAAATTCTTCTCTCATGGTCCCAGGCTGCTGAGGAATGGTCTCACTTCACCGCCAGCTTGGAAAACCTTTGATCCAAAGACTTTAGGAGGCATCTCTCTCTCTCTCTCTCTCTCTCTCTGAACATCAGATTTGCCTTTATTGCTTTGAGTTCCCAGCAGTAATGTGAATTACACTTGACTATACAGTTCTATGAATTCAACTCCACTTCCTAAAGAACAAAGTTCCTCAAGGTATCAGTAAGATGTGTGGGGTCCTAATGGATTCCTCTCAGAAACACAAAGTAACACCGTTGTTTCCATTTTAGGACATTAAGTATTAATGCTACTTAATAGCTCATCATTACGGGAACAACTTTTTTTAACTCTTCTGGGGCATGGGATGATGACACCTAATACTTGGGTTTGGAGTTTTATTATCTACAAGCCACATACACACATTTGACAGTGTCCGTACCATCAGAGTCAGGGTCATCGTGTGTCCCTTCTAACCTCGAAAACCATACATTGTTCTGAAACTCCAAGTAAAATAAAACCTTTCTCTCTTTACCAGCTGCCTAATATGCACATGTAATTCCTAAGTTGTCTTTTTTGTTGTTGTTGTCCTTTTTGTAGACCTTTATATGTATAATTTGTAATTTGGGGCAAGGTTGTTGCTTTGTTCTTCATTGCATAAGCAAATGGGAAGAATTTACAGTGTAACTTAATTTTTCTGTATTCATAGTCCTCAGGATGTAAAAACTAAACATTTTATTTAATTAATCAGAAATATATTTTGTCATGGTGCCACCTATACCCCAATGTGTGTGTCTTGTTTGGACCTGTAAATAATAAAACTTGCTGGGAGTATTTTTGCAGTACCGAAGATGTTTCTACTTGTGGTAGATTGTTTACTCTGTATACATTTGTGAAAATCAAAGGCCTTCTCCTACTGTGTTCCCTTAGGGTAACCCTGAGCAGCCCCTGCAAACCAGCAAGGTTGGCCTCGGGAGGAGAGACTGCCAGAGTCTGCAGCACCGCCACCACTCTCAGCGCTCCAAGTGCCGCCCACCTAAGGGCATGTATTTAACCCAGGAGGATGTGGTGGCTGTTTCCTGTAGTCCCAATGCTGCCAACACCATCCTGAGGCAACTGGACATGGAGTTGATCTCTCTAAAGCGTCAGGTATCTGACAAAAGTGGTGTCTTTTATGATTTCGTCTGCTTGTCTGCCTGCTTTTGTTTGGGCTGAACTTTAGTTTGTAGGTGTTCTTTTCTGGGAGTTGCAGTCTTTGGTTTTTGGGGTGCAGACTTGACCCCCACAGCCTCATCAGCGGTACTGTACCTCTGAGCCTGCCACAACTCCAGCTTGATATAGCTGATGAAATTCCTCTACTATCGTAGATGAAAATCCCAGCATGGCTACCCATCAGCATGGATTCTGAGCAAATTCCACAGTTCACAGGCTCCAGTATTCCTGTAAGACTAGGAACAATAGCCATGCTGTCTCAAGTTGCTGAAGGCTGTTTGTAATGCTCTGTGTAGGTTGTTTGGCACACTGAGACTCCTCTGTGAGTCACCATCGCTGCTGTCTCCTCATTGTGGGTTGTAGTAGTAACAGTAGTTTTTCAGTGTCCATATGGCTTTTTAATGCTAAGACCCTAGTACGTAGCCTTTGAGGGTTACCCGTAAGACCTTATGACAATCAACTGATAATTTCTGCTACTAATAAGAGAGTTGCCATAATGAAGTGGTTACAGTCATGAACAACCTGGGTCAGGTCATCGAAGCTGACTATGGCTTGTCTTCCCTTATGGGGCTTTTACCTTCTCTCGGCTCTCGTGTCATCTGGGTCAGAAACAAGACCGCGTGTGAGGGGCACTTACAGCACTGACTGGCATAGTGAGCTCTCCACATCTCTTAGGCATCCGGTCCTCTTTATCTTCTATCCCTGTTTCTTGTTTGGTTTTGCTATCAGAGACTTCCCTCTTCCAAACTATAGCCCTTCTCCATGGAAGTATTCTAGATCAGTGGTTCTCAAACTTCCTAATGCTGCAACCCTTTAATATAATTCCTCATGTTCTGGTAACCCCCAACCATAAAATTATTTTGTTGCTACTTCATACCTATACTATCTATTTTCTGAAAGTCTTAGGCAACCTCTGTGAAAGGGCTCTTTGACTTCAAAGGGGTCTTTGACCCACAGGTTGAGAACCATTGTTCTAGCTACTTTGCCTATAATCTTTGGGACTCCACAGGAGGGAGGGAAGAAGCACATTATCTCCATTACTATTCTTCATAGTTTATTTTAACATTCATTCGTTCGTTTGTTTATTTATTTGTGTCTGTGCATGGCCATATAGCACAGCACACTTTTGGAGGTCATGGGACAACCGACAGGACTCAGTTTTCTCCTCACAACTTCATTAGACTACGGTCATCAGCCTGGGTGGCTCAAGCACTCAGCCACTGAGCCAATACCAGCCTCTGGTGGGCTATTTTAAGTTCCTTTCCTTGAGTATTCATTTGATGTGTGACATAGTAAAGTTTTCTATTAGTAGCACCTCCTCTCACACCATTGAGTAACTGTCTCCCAACTTCCCTGGCATCTGTCAGCAGCACCACACACTCCCTGACTCCACTGACGTCATCTGTCACCCACTGACGTCATCTGTCACTCGCTGACTCCACTGACATCATCTGTCACCCACTGACGTCATCTGTCACCCACTGACGTCATCTGTCACCCACTGACTCCACTGACGTCATCTGTCACTCCCTGACTCCACTGACGTCATCTGTCACTCCCTGACTCCACTGACGTCATCTGTCACTCGCTGACTCCACTGACGTCATCTGTCACTCCCTGGCTCCACTGACGTCATCTGTCACCCACTGACGTCATCTGTCACTCGCTGACTCCACTGACATCATCTGTCACCCACTGACGTCATCTGTCACCCACTGACGTCATCTGTCACTCCCTGACTCCACTGACGTCATCTGTCACCCACTGACTCCACTGACGTCATCTGTCACTCCCTGACTCCACTGACGTCATCTGTCACTCCCTGACTCCACTGACGTCATCTGTCACTCCCTGACTCCACTGACGTCATCTGTCACCCACTGACGTCATCTGTCACTCGCTGACTCCACTGACGTCATCTGTCACCCACTGACCTCATCTGTCACTCCCTGACCTCATCTGTCACTCCCTGACTCCACTGACTGTCATCTATGATTCCCTTGAGTTTCTATAGTCATCTTGACGAAGAGTCTCAGTTTTGTTTCTTAGTTACTCTGGTTTTTGTTTTGTTGTTGTGTTTGTTTGTTTGTTTGTTTGATTGATGTGACAGTGTCATTCTACGTAGCTTTGGCTGTCGTGTAACTTACATAAGCCAGGCTGACCCTGAGCTCACAGAGATCCTCTGCCTCTGCCTCCCGAGTGCTGGGATTTAAGGCGTGTGCCACCAACGCCCGGCTACTCATCATTCCTATTCCTAAAGAAAGGTTTCTTAATTGCATAATTAATATTTCTGACTTGAACTGTATTAATGTAAACTCTCATCTCATTCTGTCTTCTGTGTTGCTATTAGAAATGCCTTTCTGAAAAGCAAATGTGATCGTGTTCTCTTGATTTAAAAATCTTCAGTTTTCTTCAGTCCTTTAGGCAAAATTGAAATTCTTTGACATACTGCACGGTTTTTTGGTTCTTTGCCCTGGTCCTACATTCTTTGCTTTTTCCTAAATGCTGTTTGCCTGGAGTGCACTCTCTCCCAACCTGAGCTGCCAGCAGATGGTTCACCTCCTCTGGGACATTTCTCCCTACCACCCACCTTTCTGGCTTTATCCCCTCTCCCTCTCCCTCTGTGTGTTTTCTAGCACGGCCATCTGATTTCCTCTAAACCATCCCTTGCTTTATTCCACATACTCTTACTGGAAAGAAGCCACTGCTCATCCTGGTGAAAAATAAACCAAGCCATGGGGGGGGGGGGAGGTGAGCTGGAGGGCGGGAAACAGTTCTCCTTCCCCGCATGCCTGCTCTAAATGGAGACTGGCTGTCGCTCACAGAGCGAGAGTTTCAAACTTGGTTTACACTTAGGTTGTGCCTCCTACGAGATTACCCTAAAGGTTTCTTCACTCTGTGTGTCTTACATTTTTACCTTCCTCGGATGGTCCCAACGGGAACAGGGACGGGTTCTGCTCCAGCTCTTGTTTTGAAAACATCTGTTTGTCCCAGAGCTTTGATAGACTGGGGAACAATTTGAGCACAGTCTGAGTTTCGTACGGGCCAACATGTGGTTTCTGTTGGTGGAAAGCTATGCCGAGCTGCCTGGACACTCCCACACACCTCCAGTGTGTACTGTGTGTGGGGACCACGCACGCCTGATGTCGAATGTGGGAGAATTACAAGCAGCCGTCTTTCTACAGTGCAGTAGCTCAGAGACATAATCATTGTCACACTGAAGTGTCTCCTCCGCTGAACTGAACCTAAAATGGTTTTCATATATGTCCTGTTCATGTATGTAGTGCTCATAAAAATGTACTAAGTGCATGGTCTGACTCACATCTTGTTATTTTGTGAAGGTTCAGAATGCTAAGCAAGTAAACAGTGCGCTTAAGCAGAAAATGGAAGGCGGAATTGAAGAGTTCAAACCTCCTGAGGTATGATGCTGAACACGAGTGTGACTAAGCACCTTTCCCTTTTGAGTTTCCCAGTGCTCAGGTTCTACTCCGGTCCTTTTTGAAGGTTGCACATTATGGACAATTTATCATGCCTGATTTTTCATGCACATAGTCATCTTTTGAGCCTTGACTGATGTTTTCATATTTAGGTGAATTCACTTTCCCCCCTCCCCCCCTGCCCTCAGCAGGGGCTTTGAAAAGCACCTTTAGGATTGAGGTAGAAGGTCTGGGGAGTCTGGCACAGCCTGGGGACAGGACAGTGTTTAAAGCTCAAGGCCTTTTCCTCCCTGTGACTGGTAACACTGCAAGAATGAATCACAAGGGATTTTTCTCAAACAAAATCTTATTTTAAAACTCTTGTTTTGGCTCAAATTTCAATGAGGGTTTTACTGTATATATTTATTTTTTTAAAACGTTCTGCCTGAAAATACAAATTGTCATATATAAAGATACGTGTTACCCATTTTTTCAGCCTTATTTGTGATTTGTTTCTGTGTGCATGGTAATTATAGTAGAACTTAAATGCCCCTAAAATCCAATCAAGTCTTTTTTTTTTTACAAAGTTTTGTCTGTAAAGTCTTTTATTTTTTTCAAAGACTCCCAAGTTGGATTCATATTCTGAATTGGCCTTTCTATGTGTAGAGTGACCAAATAGTTGTGTTTCTGTGGGTCCTACATCTGACTGAACTATCTACCGAGAAAGCGGGGGAGGAAACAATAAAGTAGATCTTGCTCCCCGCATCAAGGTTAGGTATGGGGAACATGGAAAAATGCATAGATCGGGATCTCATTTCAAGCCCCATAAGAAAACTAAATATGCTCCGGTGACATTGAAGTAAGGGAGGTACAATACAAGATATTTTATTTTCCTATACTATTGCAAGAGGAAACTTTAAAATTTTGAACTGGTTATTTTAATTTCGTGTCTAATCATACACTAAATGTATATAAAGCAAAGTTTCAGATGCCAGCAGTTTCCTGATTTAAAAAGTATATGAGTACAGCAGATATTAAACACCAGGCAGGGCCCAGGTGTGGTGGCACGTGCCTAAATTCAATATCAGCACTCTGGAGACAGAGTCCAGAGGGACAGGCGGCACTTCATAGAGAGATCCTGCCTCAGACAAATGAAAGCTTGGCAGTGTGGGGTGGGAGGGGCGTTGAGATGGGATGGCTTAGGGGGGAGGGCACTTGATGCTGATGCTGGCATCTTTAGTCTGACCCCCAGGACCCACATGATGGACACAGAGAGCTGATTCCTGAAAGTTGTTCTCTGGCTTCTACACATGCACCATGAGACATGCAACCCCCCCACACACACACTAAATAAAATAAAAAAAAAACACAGCTATGGGACTACTAGTAAGAACTTTATGCTACAAGTTTGAGACTGGAGAGATGGCTCTGTGGTTTAGAGCACTGGCTGTTCTTTCCGAGCACCCAGGTTCAATTCCCAGCACCCCGTGATGGCTCACAACCATCTGTAACTTCAGTTCCTGGGAGTGTGCTGCTATCTCCTGGCCTTCACAGGCATCAGGCATGTGCATGGTACACAGACATACATGCAGACAAAAACACCCACACAAATTTTAAAAACAAAAATAATGTTGAATAAAATAGAGAATTTCTAGATGTTGTACTAAGATTTCCAAGGGGTGCGGGGAAAGCCCAGATAATTTTACAGAAAAAGCACCAAAGCTCAAGGAAAAGTTAATTCTAACCTTAAGTTTTCCGTGGCACCGCTGGATAGTTTCACTCATCGGCACTGCGTGAGATGGGAAAGTGCCGTATGCCGCTGGTCGTGGCTGGGTGCTCCCTTGGTCTTGAGGTGAACAACCGAAGCAGTACAGCTGCTGCATGCGAGGAGGCCGCGCCTCAGAGGGGTTGCTGACTTACTCAGGCCCACCACGTAGCAAGCTGTGGCATCTCCTGTAGCTCAGGGCTTGAGACCCGATTGGTCGTTGTGCATGGTGCTACCGTAAACGTGCAGGAAGTGTCTTAGAAAGGATGGCGGACGGTCTGGTGAGCCAGCTGCTGGGGTAGAAGCTATCGAGCATGCGTTACGTCTTTTGATTCAAGAGCAATGAGCAAAGTGGAATCACCAAAGTCTTAGCCGTGCCTCGGGGCCCACGCAGTCTGGGTGCGCACACGTGGCTGGGTTAATGATTTCATTGAGGTGCACGTAGCTTCATCATCCAGAAACGTAAATTTGTGTTTATCGCGTTCTTCTGCTTTTGGGACCAGGCAACATGAAAAGCTACTATTCTGAAATACTGATTGCATCACATGAAGGGCATAGAAAGACGACCCTGTCACCCCTGGGTTAGACTTTACCTGCAGCACTGTTAATGACCTTTGAGAGCTATGTCATTAAATGCAGCCCTCATCCTTCTTGAGGAGCTTTGCTTATTAATTTAGCTTTAAGTTTATTTTATCTAGAATAAAATTTGATGAAGAAAATTCATTCACTTCTGCAACTATTTATCAATCACCTGTTTCGTACAAGGCAGGACTTAGGATCTGTGTGAAGTGTGGGAGGAGGAGAAAACACAGAGATGAGGTAACCCCCCCCCCACTGCTTAGCATTTACTTGTAATCTAGATGGTATCTCAGAGATCGATGAAAGTGTAGACTTAGAAACAAACACTCTAGGAAAGCAACCGGGTGTTGCTCATTCTGCCTGGGACCAGACTTTCTAATGATGGCAGGGATAAACAGAGTTTGTGCACACGCGCAAAGTCCAGAGGGGGTCCCAGGCAGAGAGGGGGTAACGACGATGGGGGGTAGCAGGGAAAGTGGTACTGAGATTCCGTGGAAGCACAAGACTTGTCTTCTCTCAAGAATCTTTCCTGCCTAGAAAGGCGATCTTAGTCGCAGAGAGGAATGAACACATGGCAGGGGAAACATAAACAGGATGCCATAGAGATGTTAGGCAGGGTGTAGAGGCTTCCTGAGAGCCAGGAGGAGGAGATGCCTCAAGGGGGAACCCTGCAGCTTCCTTAACGCAGACAGTAGGTGATGGAATGATGTCATTATAGGAAAATTGTCTTGGCAGTGTCTGGGCAAACATGTTTGCTGCTGAAATGTTGGGCGGGTGGGGTGTGTGGTAAGAAGTGAACAGAACAGGTTAGCCACAGGAATGAGAGCAAGAGATAAGTCCATTTCAGAGTTAGAAATACATGTGTCTCCCTGAACACAGGCTGGGATGGAGGAGGTGTGTGTGGGTTGTGACCGCAGCAGAGAGGCGGAGACAGTGGAAGCCGTGGGTCTGGGGGGGGGGGATACTGACAGGGTCGACACTGGGAGTCCCATCCTGTCCTGAGTGTTTGCCTCCAGCCTTATGATGGCGCTCAGATTCCCAGCCTTGAGCAGGGAGCTTGACTGGTGACTTCCCAGCCCTTCTGAGAGAATATGAACGTGCGACTGACGAAATGGAGGAGCAGATGAAGACGCCAATACGGCAGGGAGGGCTCAGTGCATATTGTTTCTACCACTGTCCCATTTCATAATAGTTGCATTTCGGATTAGGGTTTGTGCTCTGACAACCACAGAGTTTAGTTTCCGGTCACGAGTCACACTCTAGTTATCCTTTCTTTAAAGTTTCTGGGGCCAGTAGTAATGGAAAGGACTCTGGTGTGTTTAAGATAGCTTGTCCTGTTTCTCTTCAACCTCCCCTGCTCTCCTGTCTCCATTTTGTCAAGCACTGAAGCCTAACCAGTTTCAGCATCTCCTTCCTACATTTCCAGCCAGAGCTGCGGTGTAAAGACCACCAACTGTTTGACTTTTTCTAAGCTCTGTGTTAGATGGCTGGCCCTCCTTTTCCTTCTCCTTCACCGCTGAGATGCTGCACTCTCTTGTTAGTGCTCTCTTCCCTCAGCGGTAGTCTTCCGACACGCGTGTACAGCCCGGCCTAGGTTCTCATACTTAGGATTCACCTTTCTCTTTTGCTCCTGGAGATGTATAAATCTCATCCCTTCACGGTGCTGAAGCCGCGTGCAGCAGGCATGTGCGATAGTGGTCACGCATATTTGGGTTCCGCCAAAAGCCTAGCGCTCTGTCCCACTGCTGGAAGACATAGTAGGGCAGTGTTGTGTCATCAGGAGTCATTTAGGAGGGGACACAGCATAACTTTTTTTAAGTTTGTAGGCTAGTATAAAAACTTCACATTTAAGTAATGTGTGAATGGCTCCATTAAAATTTTTTTTCTCAAACCTTCAAAAATGGTTTGGATTCACGAATGTTGTGTTTTTGTCCACATGGAACCTGAGCTCCTCCTGAATGTCCCTGTGCCTCGTTTCCAGTGTGTGCCAGAGAGTCTCATCGTGGCCTTTCCCACTTCCCTGTCTCCGAGAGGAGAGTGAGCGCTTCCCTGCCGCACTGCCTTCGGTGGCTCTCCGAGCTTAGGAGTCTTGCTCTGGTTAAAGCCATGTCCCCACACAGGTCCTCTTCCTCCCCCCCAACACAGCTCTTGGCTTGCCAGGCATAGTGCAGGTTCCCCAGCCTTGTTCTTGTCGCCTTCTGCGGTGAGTGTGGCCTTTGCTCTGCTTTAAACTCTGCACGCAGACCTCAGGAATCTGTGTGCACCCCGACGGTGCCTTTCAGACACTTGTGAAGTTTAGATGAAAACGCATTTTATAGTGTACGGGTTTGCTTCGGTTTTTGTCCCCTTTTCATGATATTTCCCCCTCAAGCCTCGGCAGATTTCACAGTCGCAATCAGCTTTCACGGACTCAGTATCTCAGTATCACCCTCAGAGCTATCTGTGGAGTGCGCATCATCTCTGTCCGGGAGACTCCCAGTAGGGGGAGCTAGCCAGCAAAGGAGTGAGCGTCAGCTCTGTCCAGTAGGGGGAGCTAGCCAGCAAAGATAGGCTCACATCTACCCAGGACGTCTGTCCTGGCCATCACTGCGTGTCCATCACTGCAGCTAATAAAAGCATACACAGTGCAAGCCAATAGAACTCTACACTTCGCCCGATGAAACCCCGGCAGTGTCTGTGCAAGAGACTCTTTACAAAGAGTTAAAGGGCTTGAGAGAGAAAATGAAGCCTGCAAAGAACAAAGCTCCATGCCATGGACATGTGGTTTTTCAGAAAAGCGATGCCCAAGATGAAGCGAGAGCGTGGTGTCCAGACCGTTAGCTCCCTCAGAGAGGAGCCAGCCCCCTCAAGAGGGCTCACCTGGTAAAGGAGCTGGCCACACAGGCCTGGGAACAGAGCTTGACCCCCGGAACCCACATAAAGACAGAAGGAGAGAGGCGGCTCCTCAGAGTTGTTCTCAGACCCCCACACACGCACCAACACACAACAATAATACACACACAACAATAATAAACAAATATCTTACAGAAAAAGAATGAGCCAGCTTATAATGTTTTCGTTTTCTAGGTCAGATTAAGTTTCACAGTAGGCCCCTTAATTTTTCACCGCCCACTCTAAAATATTTGGACCCATTTTAAGCGGTTCCAGTTCCGCTTTCCAGGAGCAGGCGGAGCTCCTTTGCTTCTGACGCAACGGTTTGTTTTGGAGCACTCACACAGGAGCACAGGAGCTTCTGCCCTCCCTCCAGGCTGCTCTGTTTCTGGATTTGTTCATTGATTCCTTTTCACTGAGGGGGGGTGGTGGTGGGGGCTGAAATACTCTCTGACCTGTGTCGCTAGACCTCTTTGTATATTTCTGTCTTGAGATGGGCCTGGCCAGCCTGTCTAGGCTACCTTTGAACTCTGCCTGCGGCAGCCTCCCAAGTAGCTGGGATTGCAGTCCTGCAACCCGAGGCCCCGCTGGCCAGCTCTGTGTCTCAGACCCTGTGCTCCCATGCCTCCCATCACTGTTTATTGCGTGGCCGCTGCCCGGACCCTTTTATCTCTCCTGAAATTGAGTCATTTCTGTTTCCGGTTTCTGTCCCTCCGTGCTCTGGGTCTTTTTAAGCTTTTTCCTTTCGTCCTCTCAATTTTGTTTCTGGCTTTGCAGCTGTCTGTTCCTCCTGATTACGCGTTTATAAGGATGTGAGTAAACCCGGTCTCACCCAGAGGTGAGAGCTGATGTGCCCTCTGGGAGGCCGCTGCCCGCTGGCTTGCCCGGTGGGCCCACTCAGCCAGCTTGGTTGCCTGCACCGCGGCAGTGTCTCCCCTGCTCATCTATGAGCCGGCGTGCCGGTTTCTCTCCTCTTCTGCTAAAGCAAAGGCCCTTGACTTACGCATCAGTGGACTGAACTACCAAAACCTGGCTAGGCGGCCACTACTGTAGGACTTCAACAGGGTCTTGGAGAGAAACATTAGGACGTCCTGGGATTTAAAAAAAAACAAAAAACAAAAACCGATAAAATAAAAGGCCTTATCAATGAATCATTTTCTGCTTCAGGAATTTAAAGAAATATCATAGGACTTGGGCTCATCCTGCCGTCTCAATCTGATTTGTACAACTGTTATAGGAGAAAGCATAGGTTTTATTTGATGTGAAGCAAAGAAATGTTAGAGTCACAAACCCTCTCAAAAGAAAATGGTCTCTTAAATGTTAAAAAAAAACTGGGCTAAAACCAGTATCTGTGGTATGTAACAGGAGCATTGTAACTGGAAAATGAGTGACGTACCAGTGTTGTTCAGTCTCCCAAATGGGTGCATTTTTCTCTCATCGTCTCTGTGTGTGTAAAAGGTAACTCAAGACATGTTTAAGCTTTCTGAAAGTGAAACCTCCATGGGTCAGCATATCAGTCTCATGTCTATGATTTGGTGAAAAAGTGTTTAAAAAGCAAGTTGGAAAAATGTCTATCTTCATATCCTCATTAGGAAACTTCTTTTTAATTTTGTAGTCAAATCAGAAAATTAATGCCCGTTGGACCACAGAGGAGCAGCTTCTAGCAGTGCAAGGTATACTAAAGATAAGCAGTACTGTTGTTCATTATTGACTGTCGTGAAAGGCGCCTGCCGCAGTTCTCCCTCCCGTAGGCGTGGGCCAAGCAAGGTGGCCAGGGATTGTGTGCTGTGCTTCTGGTGTGGCGTGCTGAATCTATTCATTCAGGGCCCTGAGGAGCACAGCCAATCACGTGGCGCCCTGTGGCTCAGCGTCGGGGTGTGTGTCCCTGTCACACTGGGGACTCGTTCTGAACCTAAACTATAAGTTTCCTATTTGTCTAGTCGCTCTCTGTTTCTCTATTTGATAAGTGTGAGGTTATGAAAATATTAACTATGTGCTTTCCGTGTGTCATTCCTTACAAAGAGACAGACCACTGAGTACCTTTAAGAGACTCAGGCCCTGTGGAAGTGCGCTACCACAGCGGCGCTGTCTGTGAGAACGCTCAAAGGCATGCACCCATGGGCAAACAGGGAGCACTGGAAACCCGGGTTTTCTTCTGCTTGAGCTGCTTAAGGGCAAATTGCATAATTTTTTTTTGTTCTGCCCTAGATTTTATTTGTCTTTAAGATGAACTACCTGCAGAATTCATTGTGTAAGTTAATGCGCTCTCCTTATTGCTTGGCGAGCCCGCATTGTGTCTACGCTAAGAGCTTTCTCATCGAGGTTGTCAGTGAGAGGGAGACCCCTGGGAAGCGTACGCACATAGTTTATAATATTTCCAAACACTCGTCCCTCTCTCTGTCTAGAGGTTGCATCATGTGCATTTAGACCTCTGCCAAGAGTGTGAGCAGGCCTTCCTTTTATTCACCACACAATGCTGGCTCTCCTCCCCGTAGTGTCTCCTGACAGACCTGAGCCCTGGTTTCTAGTGTTTGGCTAATATGTTAATTCTGTGCCATAATAGGAATTCTCCCAGCAAAGGATTCCCTGAAGAGGGTCTCTGAGGGCAATTTGGAGTAATCTTTTTTCTCCACGTAGCACTTGTGATTGGACAGTGTTGAGACTTGATAGCTTTCAGGGGCAGAGTCCACCAAATCTAGCAGCTTGGTTGGACTATACAAACCTGCACTCATGGAATGCTCAGAGATGAGATCCCGTGTGTAGCCGCGGCTGCCTGTGTGCAGACAACGCAAACTTACTGGGACGACAGAAGAGAGTGCCAGTGCTCAGAGTCAGAGCTCCCCTTCCTGCTGAGGCCGTGCGGGTTCGTGATGTACACTTAGAGAGTGACCTTTAGGTAAATTACCCCAAAGCAGCCTGCATGGAAGGTCCCCCTAAAATAATGTATTAATGCCTCCTTTTCAGTTCTTTAGAGGAAAATTATTTGGAATTTTTGTTTTCATTCTGTTCGGACTTTTTGTTTCCATTGTTAGTACATAAAATAAAAATACCTATTTGTTCCTAAAGCTGATGTTCTAGAAAGGTCTGAAAGGCACGTGCCCATGCATTTACAAAAATACCTAGGAATGTATCTTACAAACAGTGTGCTGGAGCAGTGCCCTGTGCCTGAGGCTCACTGGTTGAGGTGTACACATAAATGTAGCGTCTGTTTAACCGTGTAGACTTTGCTAGTAAGATGCTACTTAGTGATTTTTTTTCCTTGAATACTTACGATAAACCTTTATGTGGCAAATCCTTTAACAGACACTTCAGTATTGTAAAGCAATAGTAAATTGTTTTGATATTAACGTATTTTAATTTGCGTGGCACTGTACATTCAGAATAGTTAATACATGTAGACGGCTATGACACCCTTTGTAAAATGCTCTGTCTTGCTCATAATGGACTGTTACAGTAACCTAGAGAAACGAGTGACGCCTCTGTCGAGGTCAGCGACTGTCGAGGTCAGCGACTCAACTTGAACACACTTCCTTGGTAACTCCTTTGAAACGGGAAAGCATAAGAAGATCACTTTCATTCCTAGGTTCTAAGCCATGTGCCCCCACCTTTGCTGCTGTCCGCAGCCTGTTGCTGACGCTGACGGCTGGAGCCTTTCCCCTTCCTCGCTCCCCTAGTGGGGGTCAGCCAGCTGTCACAGGACTCCGCGCCTGCTTCTGTCAGTTCCTTGTGTCCATTCTAGTTCTGCCCGTGACCCCGGTGGCTTTCTTTAGGGGTCCAAGTGGGACACCATTAGCGCGCCTAAAAGCAGGTCTTCTCCCACTTGTCCAATGGGTGTGGCCTTTTCTGTGTGATGGAACAGTTGCCGGCAGTTGGCTGTTCTCAGAAAAGCATGCATTTGTGTGATCGCTCAGGAGTGCGGTGTGAATATTCACTGTTGATATTTTAGTCCGCCTCGGAAGTGCGCTCGCTCCCAGCGCTCAGAGAGTCAGCTCTCTGATCTCTATGCTGTTTTCAGGAAAAACGAAGTTTTATCGAGGTGTCAGCTTTAGCTTTTAGTTGTCATTTTACTTGCCATGGCTTCTAAAA